GGCTTTGATGACCATTCGTGTTGAATCATCATTCTGTTTGCGGGAAGGCATATCACTATACTTACTATATATAGCCTATCCAACTCTTGCCACTCCCAAACGGATGCCTCTATCTGTTGTCTTCTTGGTGCTTCGGTCCATGACCCTTTTGCCAGGTCGTAGCGGGCAACATCTGAATGCGGCTTTTAACTGGGTCGCCCTGGCTGTATCGGAGAAGGTATAGAAGTGAATCCGGCCTCAGTATCTGAGATGAAACAACTGCATCATGTCGAAAGCAAGAGAACGCCCTGAGGGAGGATTTGGGCTGCAAGGAAGTTGTTCAAGGATCCTGAGGACTTCTCAAACTATCTATCCCAAGGCATTAGTCTACAAAACCCTCCTGACAAAGGCTACATAGCTTGGGGGTAGTACACTGCAAGTGAAACCCAACCAACCTGCATTGCTACCGTTTGAAACCTCTGCTCTATCTTCCTTGTCCTTGTATCCAGGATTCTGCTCCCTCACCATTTTCAGCTGCCAGCCCTGCGCCAGTCCCAGCACTTTCAGGAAATGATAACTCGGACACATGAGCGAAGTATCACCATGGCCCATGGCGGAGAAAGCCTCAAGGGGAAGAGTGTGCTCTTTCAATTGCTTCCAATGCTCTATCTACATAACATACACGAGGCAATTCTGACCCGGTTAAGGCAAATGTTCAAGGCACTGTCAAGGCAAATGATTTCAGCCTGTAAGAAGAGACCAAAGTACCATAAAGTACTCCAGGTTCGCTAATACCGTGGACAAATCAATCAAACGCTTTGGCAATCGATTTTATCTGGACCCGACGGACCATTCGTTACCCCAGAACATGGGACATGACCCTATTCAAACATAGGGTCCAGGTACCTTCTGAGGATGGTCTTGGAGGTGAGTTCGTACTTCCAATGGTCCAACTGAGGCCCGTTTGGACATCCGAGCAACGGATGGTCCCAGGCGTTTTTCTGGGGCGGCCCGGCGTGCCCAAAGTCCCTCGAAGAAGGACGCCTTCAGTCGAGACCCATCCGATCATGTGAAGGTCATCGGATGAACTCCGATCCTCATTGTGTTCGATCAACAGCAGTACGACATTCCAGGCCCGACTTGTGACTTGTTTTGATGGAGTCGAGTTTACTCCAAATAGAGTCGTGGCCACCACTCGAACAACAAGTGCAGCGCTTCACTCATGCCTGGATCCCGGAAAGGTTTCTCTTCTCGGCTCATCACCAACCGTAAAACGCTCCAACGTGGCGCCCTGTGGTTCGGAGCGTTTGACGCCACGACGGGGTGGGTCGTATGCTACGAATTGCTATGAGTCGTACACAGCAACAAAGTGGGGAGGAGGGCTCCTGCGGCTTCTGAGAAGGTGGGACCATAGAGTAAGTCAAATGTAACGCATGTTAGTTACCATAAGCAAACCAACGTCCGTAAGATGAGGTCACTGACGAGGTCGAGTCCTCCTTGCCCAGTTTGGTCAACCCCCCTGGAGAAGCCCCGCACCAACTCTCAACTCCTCACATATTCTCCCCAAGAAGAATATATACGATGGTCCATGGCTCAAGCAGTTCCGACAAAAGAACTATCTATCAACCCCACAGAATTCCCGCTTGGACCAAATCTTTAAGAACACCTCAACAAGGCCTAGCAGTCCCCAAGAAACCAGCCGGGAACGAGTTTTTGGGGGGCTTCCTTCGCCAAGCAGCCCCAAGAAGGGCCAGCTGCCACCAGACCGCCCGTTGCATGGCGGAACCTGGTGCACCCAAGGCGAATGGTCGGGTCCGTGCTTCAGTGAGTGTGTGAAGCTCTCCCATAGCCTCCAGTTGATAGCCCCTTTAAAGCCTTCATGCTTCTACGAGGTCTAGAGGTCCATCTCCGCTGACATCCGCTGACCGTGTCGTGGTGTCTTCAAGTTGGAAAACCGGTCGTCCGGACTTAAAAAGGGTGGGAAAACACAGAAACATGCACCTCAAGACCAACCAATAGGGCGATCGGGCATTTAGGGCATAGGACAGGGTCCCGTTCAAGACGATCCATGAGACATCAGGGGGCCTGGTCACCGATCGGTTGGTACATGGAAGGATCTATCACCCCTATAAGGATCCGAGTCCGGACCCTCCATGGCGATCGGGGTCGAAGCCTCACTCGTTCACAACGGGGTTTCAGGGGTCCCTCAACACCCGTGTTTTGTTTCAGGTGTGGATCCGATGAACGATTTGGTCATCCCATGGGACTGGAGCATTGACCGATCAGGTAGGTCTGGGGTGATCAGGTAGGTCAATATAGTCCCAATCGATGGTCTGGGGATGGAACTTCTGTGGAAAACGACACTGGCACCGGCAAACACCAACACCCCCGCTCTGGATGGACTTGAGGAACAGCATGACCAGGAAATGCCATGAATCATTGAGGGTTTCCTAGCTTTCAGCTTCTAACTACCTGTAAAATCCATTCAGGGTGTCCACTGAATTGGTAAGTAGTGACCGCGAATGGATGTTCTTGGTGTTTGTTTTTTCAGAGAACCAAACGCTCCAAACAACCCTTGGTCACTCAAAACCTAGGGATTTGAGACGACTCCTCCATATGAAGGTCCATGAACGTCTGGGAATCAATCCTGAGACATCAAACTTGGCTGATCCGTGCCCCAGTTGCTAACCCACCTCTATCCATGTCCAAAATCATCGAATTCGCACGGGGCAAAAGGGTGAAGAAACCGAGGATGTAGACACTAAGTAAAACAGTGTAAACCATGGACGATCATCTCTAAACTATGATGTCGCTCAATTCACCATCAAAACCTGATGGTTCTCTCCCAGTGTTTCTCATCTTTGTTACACCAGCAAAGCCCTGGTTTTGGTATGGGCTAGATCAGTCAATGGCACAAACCTCGTGATCCTCTTGACCGCCACTTCATCGGAAAACTTTAGATATGATAATGGGTGTGAATATGGTGTGAATGATGTGGACATTAGGGAGAAGGTTCGGAAAATAGACCCAAACATAGCAGGAAACGAATTTTTGCACACATTGCGTCGGATGGTGAGGATCTCAGCTCGACTGGGATGACGCAAACCTCAGCCGCATCAGCGCCTCCAACTCAGCGGAGCTCATCGTGGAAACCGAGGGGCGTCAAAGGCCGGGCAAACCGATAGATCTCCACCCAAGAAGAGAAGGCTGAAAGGAGTTGTGTGTTGCTGATGTTTAAACAACAAAACATGCCGTGCTGTTGCTTTGCTGTTATGATCATATGCGTTGTTGAAGTCACAACTGCTGATTGAGAGAGTGAATCCATGATTCCAAGAGACCCTCTAAGAAAGCCCGTACCTGTCATAGTCAGCAACAATACTACGATGCTGCTTGCACAGCTGGGGACAGTGCCCCAAAGGACAGCGTAGCCTAGCTCCTCCCACCGTGAATTTCATGAACCGCATGGGGCCCTGAGAAGGACATTCACCCGGCTCCGGCTCGGTGCTTGTGAAGGTGGTTTTGGGGGGTCCATGTGGGTTCATGTGGTCCTCGGAGCGGTCTCGTTTCGTTGGAGCTTTCGTGTGACCATTTGGGTTGGTTGCTTTTGTGTTGCAGGCTTCTCCTTCGGTGATCCAGGTGCACAGGAGGCGCACATGAAGCAGGCTTCAGCCCCCTGATGGTCGCGATCTCTGAGCCGCAAATGGTCGCCACCCGGGTCGTCGTGTCTCACGAAGTTGGTCAGACGAGTCCCCCGTTGGGTTGGAAGCTTTTCGGGGACTTTCCAGGCTGCTCATATTGGGGGCATATCCCAAACACGACACATGGGACTGGCATAGGACTGCCGATCAGTTGGGGTGGTTGACCTGGGGTCAATGTAGGCAAATATGCGATACATGGAGGGTCGGGGTATGACATATCTAGACCTGGAGTGGCCTGGAGCCTCAGTTCGTACCTCAAAGTCCTCTGCGCGAAGATGATTTGATCCCGCAACTACACATGACATGTGCATGAACGAACATAAAATGCAAGGTTGACCTGGTGTCATGGATCTTCCAACTATGCAAAATGAATTCCATTGGGCTAGTTATAAAATAAACAAGGCAGACATGTTGCACAGTTAGGAAGCTCTATATACGGTGTATAAGGTCTCCAAGGAAACAACACGTGTTTCATAACCACTAAATCAGCTAATCTTGACTGGACTCAGTGTTGGAGTTCTATGCGCCAATGATCGTTTCATTGTTTCTGTCCGCAGCATTGTGAAACTATTCATGAAAACACACCCTACAAGTCCAGTCTGACCCGGTAAAACCTAGTCCTTTACCTCCTTAAGTACTGCTTTTGTATGACCGACCAACATCAGTATTTCATGAGGTCATTGACTTGTAGGGTAATTATGCTCTCGGATCATGCAGCTGCGTGCCTCAACCTATGCTGGAACTACACGTGCAAAAAATATTGGCTTTAAAAAATGCTATCGTGACCCGTTTGGTTGGTCCAATCTTGCTCCGAATCGCTATCCACAAACCAGAGAAGATATTCAATTCCCAGACTGTCAGTATTGGCAAATTGTCCATAATGCACATCTGGCGATGTGAAAACACTGTGTCGATGATAGGAGATGGACTGGCAGTTCCTCCTGCATGTGGCGATGGACTACCCAAACAAAAATGCATCCTTGCGCTTCCAAGAAGCTCCTAGAGAAGCTGGCAGCTCTAAAAATGCATTCGAGGTTCCTAGAAATGAGCGTCTTAGAAGCACAGGGATCAGTCACGTTTTCGGGTGAACAATGACCATTCACCGTTTTTGTATGTGTTTGTTGCAGTTCTATAGAGACGATTGCTGGGGCGCCCCAATGCACTGGATGAAGGCCTTGTCTTGGAGCAGAAAGTAAACCATAACTACGTAACTAATTGATCCATATTGATCCATTAAACGTAAAATCATCATCAGTTGCTATACTATACAGTTCCTCACTCCGTCACATGAATCGAATCTTCGCACTCCTCCGCCCTCCGCACCCTTCCTGCTGCCCCGGCTCAACCTCGCTCGCTCGCTCGGCGGCAACTCTTTTGGGCGCGCCGTGCCGCGGGGCAGACCGGTCCCGACACATGTCCAAGAGCTGCCGCCGCAGTGCGATGCGATCCTGGCGGCCGCACAGGCGGTTACGGGAGCAGCCGACCGGTGAGCGACGTCGACCCGACAGGCCACGAGGGATGAGTGACCAACACGGAAGGGTTGTGCAAGTTGGTCAGTCGAGGAGTCACGTGGAGTTGGGTGGTGTTTTTTTCGTCCAACGCCACCCAACTGGATCCCCATCCGGTTCCATTTCTGCACCCAACTCTTCGTGCCGCTCAATGGAGGCACCACACCCGAACCTATGGCACTGGATGAGTACTGAGTACCTGGACCCGGGGTGGGGCTGGAGATCTCATCCAGTAGTGTATAGTGTAGAGATAGTGATGAGACCCCTTTTGAAGGTGCTGATGATGGTGATGAGATGGCCCCTGCATCTGCGCCTCAGTCCCTCCTGAAAGCCCTCAGGTCCATGGCACTTCCGTCAGTTCACACCTGTCAGGCCTGTCAGGTACTTGGAGAGGTTCTGCAGAATTACAGTCTAAGTGGTTTCAGAGTAGATTGTACCAGTAGATGGCCTCTTTTTTGTGTCCAGTGAATGGGATCATGCGGATCATGCTCTATGCCCTAGATCAGGTCGTCTATACCTGGAGTTTCAAAGTACCTCAGAAAATGGGTACAGGTTAACAGTGAAAAGGGACATTGAGTTCATTACAAACATGATGTCTATTGAAACAGGGTGACCGACTCCGGTTTTCCGACAGCCTGGGTTCGGTTCGGGAAATGGACCGATCTAGGTGTGCCAGGAGCTGCCATCCCCTGTCTCTGCACCTCCACAGTTTCCAGGAGCTGCCGTCGCACCTGACTAGGCTTCTTTCCGCATCCCCACAAAGGTTCGTGAGACGAAAACGGTTCGCGCACGGCCTTGGTCAATGACCGTCCCAAACAGCTGACTTCCACAGATCTTCGCCCGTAGATGTTTTCGTGGTTTTCCAACGTTTTCCGTCAAACGAATGGGGAGGCTTCTATCCACACCAGAAACTGTGGTTGTTTGTGCCCTGACATCCCAAAGCATTGGGTCGGAGGTTGGACAGGCCTGTCGCCCACATCAAAGACGTACAAGCATAAATCCCTAGGGATCCAGTCCTACCTTCTGAGAAGGTACGACTTGATCCCTAGGGTATTCTGTAACCTCAGCATGTCTCAGAATCACGTGATCAAAGAATTCAGCATCACGCGGTCAAAGATGATGAAGGGTCAAACATTGTGATGTCTGTGACATGCCATTTATGTGATTGTTCATCGCTTGTTTCAGGTGAGTTCCACTTGGATCCACATACACAGGGAGTCTAAGACTATTCCGACATATTCCGACTATTCCCTATAGGGCCCTAGGACTCCTGTCCCATATCCTCAGGTTGGGTGGTGAAAAAAAAACTGCCACCCACTCCAACCACCTTCTCAGGAGTCCTGTTCGAGCCCTAGGGCCCCTAGGGCTTCAAGAGGTGACCCGATGATCCTGACAGCTTCGGCATCTGTAGGAGCTGGCGCTGAACCCCATTCGATCTCGCTGTGCCAAGGAACCCCTTCCAGCTCCAAGCCCTTTCGCCGCGAGTCCTGCACTGGCACTCGACTTGGCAGGCGATCAGGTCGTTCGTTTAGGAGCGGAGAAGAACGGTGAAGGTCGAGGCTTTGCAGTAGCCAGACACCCCGGCGGGGAGGCAATCGTGGTGTCTGCCATATATATATATATGCCAGTCTCAAACAGACTTGATGGCAAGATGCAAACTACCTTGGGGGGGCTTTGGGGAGGCTTTCTGGGGCGGCATATGTTCCACTCACTCGAGAATGGAGTGTCTGCAGCTTCGGCCGCGTTCACTTCCTTCGACTCACAGCTGCCTACAACAGTCCTGCACGTTCTCACTCTGGATTCCTCTCCGGCATATTCCAGCATCTCTAGTCCCTGCAACTCAAGTAAACGGAAGTTGTGACAAGTCCGGGAACGAGAACAAACATGTATATATGGACTAGTTACCTACAGTGACCCTCAGAAACATCTTCCAAGCACCTAATTTGTATCACAGCAAGTAAGAAGCTAACACTTGGAAGTGCCCTGGCAGCGCCCAAAACGCTCGGAAGACGGGCCCCGTTGAAAAACCATGGGCGCGGCCATCTGTCAGAGCACCTTTCCCAAGTGGGTGATTGATTTAGGGGCAAAAATGGTCTTAGGTACTTGAGCAAAGAGCTCTGCTGGGGGGCGTACCTACCCCAAACACTTGCCCAACCAAGGTTTGGTTGGGAGTGTTCCCTGCAGGACAAACCGGTTGCCCTGAACCGCTGAAGTGCTCCTGCAGAAGCTCCTCGCTGAACCGCTCAGCCTGGCCGTTGGCCACGTTGTTCTGAAATTCAAACCCTTGTATATCCCTAGGGATCCAAGTACCTTCTCAGAAGGTACGACTGGACCCTCCCAACCTACATTTCTCAGTGTCTCCAATCACCTTCTGAGAAGGTACTTGGATCCCTTGTATATAGTTAAATCCCAGATTGTTTTGTATATTAGTCAAATGCGCATACACACACACACACTGCGCACATACTTGAATAGACTTGTATCCTTTTTGGGGGTATCTTCACTTGGTTTGACTTGCAATGCGCATCTGACAAAGGTCAAACATCGGCACTTGTATACTGCAGCTTGGGACTTGAGATGCGGACGGACAGAGTCTCGAACGCCCATGAGGGCGGCTGAACCCCGGATGCCATGCACAAGGCAGGCTTCTTCAGATCCCAGGAGTGAAGACCAGTGGTTTGTACTCCAAAAAGCCTAATCTTTTGAGGAACCAAAGGATTGTTTGTCCCAAAAAATGTTTGAAGGACTTTTGGTGAATGAAAGTGTCATGTTTTGGGCCAAGCTCCGGCTGGAACCAACTGACCTAGATACCCTGAGGTCCCGACACCCTATTTTATAGAAATTATAGAATGGGTGTATGATATTGTATGACCATGAGAGTTCCATAATTATACTCAGATTTCATCAAATGAGTTATTCTTTTCAACTGCCCCGATAGTTCTCGCCATAACGAACATCCACAGCCGCTAACCCGGATGTCTAACTCCACCGCGTCCGACGGGCGGTTGGTCGACCTGTCAGGCGTTCCGACTCCCTTGGTTCGGTTCGGGACAGCAACCCAGTATAACTGTACAAAGCATATACCTAGAACCCAGACATGACCTCTGTTTTGATAGCAAAAGATCATATTTGTAGTGGTTGGTGGTCAAACATAGAGGTCACTCAGGTTCTATAGGATGTTCTAGGTATATATATATATATTGGAGCCCTTAGACCAAGGCCTCCAGGCCACAAAACACCGATTTCCCACGGCTCCACCTGCTCGGCCAAGCTCTCGGAGACGAACGACCTGGCCTGGTCGGCGTCGCGGGTATCAACGGGTGCGACGCGGAGGTCGAACGGGTGGAAGACCTGTTGGGTGTGATACTTACGACCCATGTTGACCCATAAAAATCCCAAAACACTCTACGTATGGTAGTATGGAACATCCGTGAACTTGAATCAATCATTTATAGAAATTGCTGCCACGGACGAGTTCTCCCTGAACATCCCCTGAACTCAACCACTTTCTGGCCGTTTTCTCCTAAGGGGTCATAGCCAAACGATCCAGGCAAATATGGCCGCCCCATGACTGGTGGTGATGGGCTATCGGTGGTTTTTCGGTCATAGCCACACCGCGGCCCGACACCACGACCGCGTATTCCGGGCATCGAACGCGGGCCGCCTCCGCCATCTCCAGCGTCACCGCCGAGCGAAGCTCCACCAGCGACTCCTGGGATTCGCCAGGAGCGGACGGACCGCACCAGGACGGCCGGCACCAGAGCGGTTCGACCAGAACGGCCGCCCGTGTGTCTGTGTGTCTGTGTGTGGCACGTCAGGGAGCAGCAGCTTGAGGCGTGCGTGGCGTGCGAGGTCACTCTGCAGAGTGCTGATATTGTTGCTGATATGTTCCGAGTCATCCAAGAATCCAAGACCATTGTGGCATTTCAATTGCTGGAGGTGGACTTCAGGATGCTCTGGATGGCTTGCAAGCTGTTGATTGGCAGAAATCGGACTGCGGGGGCAGGAATCACCCCAGCTTGCTGTAGTAGAAGAACTCGGTTTGCAAAAAAGCCAAACTTGGAGGAATCACCCCTGAAGCACTATACATTTGGGAGCGAAATAGACTTAGGATGACTTAGCATGTATTTTCGTTGTTCTCGCCAAAGTGTCTGAGATATGTCTATAGTTCAGATCAAAGCTCCAAATTGGGGCTACCTGGCAACAAAGGGATGATCGACTTATCACATTACAACATGGAGACACCGTGCCCCAACTCTTGTGTGCAGCACGAACGACAACCTCAAGCAGGAAGAGAAAGAACAAAAACAACAAAATCTTTTAACATATTCATGTACAGGGTCAAGTCAAGATCCAAACTCTACGCAACTCTTCATATCACTTGTGTGATCCTCACATGCCCCGCGTGATGGTCGAGAGTCTCCTTCATCGATGCAACGCACAGCTGTCTGCCCTGCCCTGGCCCCAACCGTCCGTCCCCGCTCTCAGCTCCTCTTGAGCTGTGTCCTGCCGGGCGGAGGACATACAAACGTCAACCGTCCACCACGCCGGTGTCCAATTCAGCTCAAATTCATTGCCCTACACCGACTTCGTCGTACCTTCTCAGGTTCGGTATGACTAGACCCTCCTGGCACCCATCCCAGTCCCACCTTCTCAGAAGGTACGACTGGAGGCCTAGGGTTGATAGGATTTCTGTTTCGTTATCGAAGTCACCTGGAATAGGCAACATCAGTGCTATTCGGTAGATGTTGTATCATGTTGTATCTATCTACACCTTGGTCCTTGGTTGATATCAGCAGTGATCAGAAAGCCAGCATGATTCTGGGGGATGGGAAAATGATGCTCTAAACTGAAAGCCACCAGCCCCGGGAGGTTGTTCAAAGTGTCCCTTGAAAACCTCAGGTTGTTTACGTCACTTGTCCACTTGCCCAAGCAGGTCACCAGGTAAAGACCCGCTATAAGTACCCTTTGCAACAGGTGGGTTTGAAGAACCAGGGGCAGTGAACAAGCTGGAAGGGGTATATCTTGATCAGGGCAGTGACCAACTGGAAAGGGCATAGCTCGATCAGGACTCACGATGGTCGGGGTGCCTTTCATAGAAAACTTGGAGTCACCTCTTTTCGATGCGACTTTCATAGACACCCCGACGACGAGGGCCCTGGTGTAATATATCCAATTCATGTCCGACTTGAGACCACCTGGATCCTGTTCGTTGTACCTGTTTTCCTCGGTCGTAACGGGTCGTACCTGCTGTTGTTCTGCGTGATATCATCCATTGATATCCAATGTTCAAGGGTGCAAACTGGAGGGTCCAGGTATATACTCATGACAGTACTCATCTCCAGCATATGTGTCCAAACCAGTCCCAAAGGGGTGCTATCCATGAAGGAAGGTTAGGGGTGCCCCGTTGTCACAACCACGGCCCCTGGCTGGGACGAGCCACACCACCCCGAGCTCTGTGACTCCTGGAGCATGAACACTTTTGACATCCGCGCCACTGACGCCTCCGGCGTCCGCATGTCCGACGCGGCCTCTAAGGCCACACGAAGCTCACAAAGGCCGGCTCTCCACTCCTGGTTTCCACCAACGCGGTTTGCGCACTGGGGTGATGTTGCCATTCGCCAATCCCGGTCACTCAGTTTCTCAAAGCACTCTCAAAACCATCTCTCGGAATCTCCCCGAACCTGGTACTTGTCAAGTCCTATTAGACTAGGAGATATTACGAGCGACTCTACGGCAAGCTCGACTCCGACAGGTCCACAGCCGAAGAGTCTTTCAAACCGCATCGGAGGGATGGAAAGAAAAAACACTAGACACTAGGTAAGTGGGACTGGCGGACGGCTGACGCCATTGGGGTGGTGAAACCACAGGGACGTCGTATGCCTGAAACCCAGACGAGTCGTGTCTGATGCATCGGACCCGGGCATCGTGTCATCGCACCGCCGGAGGCGCGGGAGCGACTTTCGAGTTGAGTGGTCTGGTGAGTGGAGCCTCGTTGGTGAATGAAGAAACACACGCGGAATGCATGATGCTTGGAACACTCCTCATTTTAACATGTTTTAACCACCTTGGAGTTGGGGAAGCCTTGGAACTTACAGTCTCTGAGTGTTCATAGTGGGACTTGATCGACTTAATTCCTTCAACAGTTCCTCCAGTCACTTAGTCTGCTCTCTATTGGAAGTGCTCCTGAACAAGAATGGTCAGACTGATGGGTTCTTTGGCTGTGCATGAAGTCCTCAAAGTTCATATACTAGTACCTGGACCTTCATGTCGGGGTGCTCCAGTAGTGGAGATCCCATCCAGTAGTGTAGGGTAGTCTATTGGAGACCCCTTTGAAGGTGCTGGTACTAGTTCAAATTATGCTTTTCTCTGTCTAAACTTACCAAACTCCAAGTAGCTGATGTCCTGTCTGGATACCTACACGTGGTGTGTCTGGGTGATGAGAGATCCAGCCATACCCACTAGGTATCGGTATCAGCAACATAAAACACAAACATATTCTTGTCTTGTCTTGGGCTGATCCCCATTTACAAAGCCAAAAGCCTTGTTGGTCCCACTTGCAAAGTCACTAGCAGAGAGGCAGCGCAATGAAGGGATAGTCATAATATGTCATAATTAATGTGCGAATCCCCCAAAACGTTGCTATTTTAATCAAACAATGCAATGCATAATATATACCTGCAAGCCCACCGTCCATGTCCTAGCTTTCATCAATCCAAACCACTCAGACATGCTTGACCATGCCATGTGTTTCTTCCACACATCTGGATACGCGTGTGTCCCCACCTCAGCCATGAGCGCCAAGCTTTCCAAAGGGCCCTCCTGTTTCAGGAGCTTCACGCATGGAGCTGGTCTTTGAAGCAGGAAGTGAACTAAAGAGTTAGTTATGCAACGCTAGGTGGACCAAGGTCATGGTCGATGGTATATACCCCCCTTTCACTCTGTCTCTCACTCTCTATACATATCTAGATTGAGTGCACAAACATGGGGCGTTCTCCCCTCGACCAACCCAAACCGACCACAGTGTGGTCCCAGCGACTTCAGCGTTAAAGAGCAGAAACAAACCAAGAGAGGTTATATAAGTGACCGTAAATAGAGCCCGTAACCTGGGGTGCCCATGGGATAGACTGTAATTGTATGGGTTTCTTCACACGAGCATGACACACATGTCCAATGTTGGTGGCTGACAAGGACCCATATCTAAAGAAGCATCTTGAGGTGCCTGGGCCATCTAAACAAACCTAGCAGTGGATTCCGCATGAGAGCAGTACCCTTCCCCCAATCCAGAACAACACCTGATAGTATTTGTATGTATGAGTTAGACGCCCCGAGGTCACTGAGCGGTCATTGGAGCACCATGAGTATACACGCATCATACGTATCACTTGGTGAAGTCAACTCACTCCACATGACCACCAGATGCAGCAAATGCTGCACCGCATGGAAAACGCCCCAAAACACCCCTCCTGGAGCTGCCAAAGGTGCTCCTGCAGCTTCAGCCCTGCCACCGGGTTCGGTGAGGAAGCGAGTCTAGAGGATCGGTTCCACACCGAAGCAGGAAGGTTTGGACGGTTTGGACATATTCCAATTGGTCCACCCTGCAGAATTAAACCGTTTCGGCTCTGAATGGCCGGTTGCATGTTGAGAGTGGGCAATCTGTGTAAATATGAACTATTGTAACTATTGTATCATTTTGGTTTGCAGGTCAAGTTGTCCTACCATTTCCTGAAACTGAGAACGCAGTACGTAGGAAAACACACATTTGCAACGTCACCGTCTTGTCAGCGACTGGATCCGAGCTAAATACACGTTTAATCAAATAGAGTAATACGGACCCAAAACAACTGCTGGGAAATGTCGTGCTGTGCATGTCACATAGAGACCTGTCATGTACAGAACAATCTACCTTCACACGTCCCCAATCCCCAAGATCATCTTTCTCCAAACATTGACATGATGTCAAACGCTCCATGCGATCCATACGCTCAAACGAACGTTTCCTTCTACCAGAGTCCATCGGCTGTCCTAGTCCCTTCAACCACGCTCGGACGTCACCTTGATCCTGCTGTTCCCGCAGGCCGGTCGTCACAGCTGCTACTTCCTGGGGCACCACGAGCACCCAGGAAGAGCGTCGTTGCTGTTCTGATCATCTGGTGAAAGGGACACAACGAGCACAAGAACAGCCGAGCGTATAATCAAGATAATCAAGATTAGAACAAAACAAACAGCACTAGGAGTTTCTGCGTTGCGCAGATTCTCCGATGCTGAAATTGCATGTGCCTAGTTGTCAAGTCTGAAAAAAGGCAATTGAGACTAAACTGCCAGGACCTTCAAAGGGGTCTGTATACACCACTCATGCAAACTTCCATTCAACACATTTCAAAACCCTTGGATTGCCTTGGATGGTCCGGCTTTGCGCAAGGTCCAGTGGACCAAGCTTGGCGTGCTAAAGCTCAAACACCAGCTGAACGCCGAGTGCATTGAAAGCTCAAACGCGAAAAAACAACTGTGTCACCCCATCCGCTTCCAGGTGATTCATCCAAAAAGAACACAAACAGACCTTCAACTCTTCCAACTCAAGCAATCCCACAATCCACACTGCCCATGTTTGTTTTACCCGCCCTTGTTGTTCGTGGCCAAGCTGACCTCGGCACGCTGACCTCGCTCCTCGGTGAGCTCCAGCTCACAGCTCCTGCGGTCGCGCTCGACGGGTCATGGCACCCGGTCGTCCTCCTGAGTTGACCAGAGAAAATGAACCGAATGGACGACCTATCTACCCTGGTCGCCCTGGTGAAAGGAGATCTGGGTGTTACTGGACCATCCATCCGTGTGGGTTACTAGACTCGCCATGGCACAGAAACACTTCTGCCATACGCTGTAATAATCCATGTTATGTATTATGGAGTATGTGTTGAATCAGTTGAACATGCAAACAAAAAGCGAATCCAAACCAACAAAAAGTAAAACACATCCATGGGGGCGGCATGATGTCCAGTCTCATGGATGGTCGACCGGTCGATCGGTGAACTCGCCGGCCATCGATCGAGCGGGAGGTTGAGGGAGGGAGTGCCTTCAGAAACAAATTTAAGAGTATATATCTGGTGCCCAAAATAATCCAAAATATATCTATGGTTGGCACGGTTCGGGTTGTTTTCCAATTTATATATATATATACATGTTGAAAGGGACTTTACTTTTCATTCTAAGCTTGGGGGTCTCCATCAATGGCCGCTCGGCTGCCGGGTTGCGAAGATCACCTCGAAGGGTAGAGGATCCGATTCCAGACGTCATGCTGAGGAGGATCACGAGTTGAAGAGACTAAAGATAGACCCCTATTGGGCTCCAACTACCTTCTGAGAAGGTGCTTGGGGTAGGTTTGGGGAGTCTACCTTCTCATCCTTCTCAGGATGTGGTTGGAGCCCTAGGGAGATCTCATAGCTCCTCGTTCTCGTACGTTCTCGTACAAGGGCAACAAATCCTCATCAAGACGCGGCAAGCAGCTGGCGAAGGCACGGCGAATTCCGCTTCCGCCCCTTCTCGGATCGGTGGCGCCACATCTCAGCAACTCTGAGCCGTGCCATGATCCGTCCACGTGGTGAGATGGCTGCCATAGGTGCATTCAATATTATCAAGGTTTCCTTTCCCCATAGGCGTAGTGCATTACTGCACAGCACTACGGGGGCCGTCGTGATCGCAGCTCTTGCATATGGATCGGATCTGCTGGCCGTGGACGTCGACGACGAGCCGGGTCACTCCGACGGGCTATGACCGGTCTTCTGGGCCGTCGCTGGTCCGGAAGGAGAGGAAGAAGTCGGCTGAGGTCTCCGCCAGTCGTATCCCCCAGCCGTTCAGTTGGTTGGAAGAGCGCGAGGATCACCGAATCTTGAGTCCAAGCAGATAGATGTTGGTATGCAACCAACAAAATGCAATGACACGCGTGGTTGATGGGAAATTACCGAGCTCAAATTTACGGCTTCTTGCTTCCAGCTGATTCTGAAAACTATGGTTTCGCGTATATGTGTTCCATTGCACAAGAAGTCAATCAGCACAATATCTTAAACAACAAAAACACTGAACCAATCTGATGCAATCATAATCCATGACAGTGAAATTTGAGCGGAATCACCTCTTTTGGAAGGGTCTAATTTCAAAAGCAATATATTATATATGTTTGATTAGTTCTCTATCAGGTCCCTGCAGAAAGGTCATTAAGTCAAAAAGAGATATACACGTTTCCCGAAGAACAAACAACAAGGGGGTGTTCTTCTCAAAGTGATCTTTTGAATGAGCCACTCCACAAGCACCGCCGACTCAAAAAGGGCTTCCACGGGGCCCACATGGTCGGCCTACACGGCAGTATACAGTCATGGGGCTTCCCCTCGGAACCATGTCCACTGCCGTGCGGTTCAAGATGCAGCCAAAGAACACTTGCTAGCAAAAAAAATAGTAATTCCCAAACGCTCCATGTATGCCATATATGCCTACATTCACCCCTCAAACCACCCCAATGTAGGTAAATATGACATACATGGAGTGTCTGGGATTAATCTATGTTTACAACAACTTAATAGAATGGTTCTTTGCGTGGTTCCAAAACCCATGTAATATTCAACCATGCATGTGTTTCAATACCAGTAATTATTAACCATGCCTAAACCCTAAAACCCCGTCGTTCGAGTCGTCCGACTATCCACCGTAGCCCTCTGCCCCCGGTCCGCAGCAGTTGGGCGCAGCACTCCCAAAGCTCCTGCGGAGAGGTTGACCAGCCCATCCCATATCATATGCCCTACTAGGGCTCCTGGCCGACCTCCGTTTCGGTTCGGTGGCGAATTAGGGTGGATGTTGGAGGTCTAACCACCGAACCGGAGATGGGACAGGAGCCCGAAAGACGGAGCACTACAGGGTCTGGTCTCTCAACGAACCACACCGGTCGTCACGAAAACGGTGAACATATTTTTCAGAGCTGGAACCAACAGACCGGGAAGTGGAGGGAATACATTTACGGCCAATACCCTAGGCCTCCAGTCGTACCTTCTGAGAAGGTGGGACTGGGATGGGTGCCAGGAGGGTCTAAATACCATCTGAGGAGGTACGACGAAGTCGGTGTAGGGTATTGAAATATTTCACGGATGTCAAGGGAAACATGTTTCATGCCAAACAGCCCAACGAAGCCATGCAAAACTAATGGAAGAAATTGCCCAAATCATGCAGGACATGTGAATATTACACGTGACTGGACAATTCACTTTTCTCATATACAATTTTTGCGATCACATGTGTCTTGGGTCCCACCCCTCTAGCAGTGAATGGAAGTGCAAATTATGTGGCTTCAGAAGGGGGCTACTGGGAGGGCACCGCGCCTCCTTCCAAAATCATGCTGAGTATTGGTGGCGAACTGGTACGTTTCTGCTGGCTTAGGAGCTTCTGCCCCACGCTTGTCCCAATGTGACTATTCATGCTGCGGTAGTTTTTTCAGAACCGGGTCGGTGGGGCGTAGTCCTGAATTCAAGGTTTCTGCGGCGCGTTGTGGTGACGCATGGTGTTGTGATTGTGCGTGTGTGTGTGTCATTGTATGTTCTCGTGCGGCCTGTGAACCTAGACCTCTTGATATATCTGGATCTCAAGACCTCGCTGAGTCTCAAGAGCTCTAGGCCTTTCTGACTGGATCTCAAGGGCTCTAGACCTCTAGATCTCTAGTCCAATACGTCTAGAATCGTCTAGAGATCTATCTCTAGACCTTCTACACCTCTAGACTCTAGTCCTCTAATTTCAAGCACACACTGTATGGGGTCCCTTGCCGGGAAAAACATAGATTACTCCCCGCATGGACGACTTCACATCATAGCCCCCCAAAAGAGAAAATATGTCAACAAACACCACATCCTCAGCAAATGGTAGAGAAAAGTAGTCTTCCAAGGGACCATTTTCTACTTCCATGTTAGTGAGTCAGAGGGTATTCCTCCACATCTCAGCTGGATGTTCCGGCTTAAACCCACGCAGGGACCCACGCATCTCTCAGCACTCTCACTCTCCTCTGGGCGCGAGTTGCTCTGCCAAGCCTTGCCGAGTTTCAGTGGGTTGGGTCGAAAATCCAGAGCGATTGGTCATCCCGTTCTGCCCAAGCAAAGAAGAAGATCTCTGATTTCGGATGTCTCCAAAAAAACCTTCGACTGATGGGACAGGTAAACAAAAGAAAACCATCGACCTCAATATGGGAAGACATATCGAGTTTCCAAGCTGAAAAGTGGTTATCTCTCGAGTTTCCCAGCTGGATTTGGTCCATAGCTGAGGCTGTTTGACCTCAGTCTGTCTATACTGTTTGTACATATATAGGAGGTTCTCACCATCTGTATTAGATCCAGAGTCATCTTTGAGTTGGGTTTTCCAGAGTTCTTCCACTGCCCAAAATTGTACGTAGGTGGATCTTTGCTTCAGGTCATCTAGAGGTACTGGAAGAACCACACACCATCCACGCACCATGTCGCCCCTGGTGAAGACGGGGAATGCACTGCTTTTACATGGTGTTTTGGGGCATCATTTATGCGGGGCAAGATGGCAACATGTTTGAAATCAACAAGCATCCACAAGTTCAGTTCCACAAGGCCGCTTGGGGGCTGTCCACTCAAACGACTATCCAATTGAGGCTCTGCGAAGCTGAACTGTTTCAAGGAACACCATTGAGGCCCTGCATGGTATGGCTTATCTCATTATATAATTCGTAGGGAGAAACTCCATGGACACGCCATATTTGGCTACATTGGGGTGGTTTGGGGGTTCAATGTAGACACCCCGGATTCCGGGTTCCGTGTGCCTTCTTCAGCGCTCCCTCCCTCTTCCTCCAGCGCCAAACGTCATCAAAGAGCCCACAATTTCTCTTGGACCCCTCTGCTATCACCACCTCCTCTTGGATCACCCCAGGTTACTACAGAGCCATCAAGCAAAATGGCCGCGAAGGCACTGGCGGAGGCTTCAATTTGCTGAACATGTCTCAGCTGATCTTGGACGGCGCTGCTATCTCCTCCATATGCTGAAGAGCCCCAGGTCACTACAGATCCGTTCATCAAAGTGGCAGCAAAGGCATATGAAGAAGCTTGAATTTATATATGGAGTTGTAGGTGCTGTAGCCCTTGAATTGCTATCAGCACACAAAGTCGTGCAACATCGACACGCCGATGCCAGAAAGGCAAAGCGTAAGGTATGCTGACCCACGTAGTCAATGGGCCGCGAAGGATAAGGTGGACCCAACACAAAGTCAGGCAAGACTACCACAGAACTGCCTGGCGGTGATCGGTGGAGAGACCACAGAACACCCGACCCGGATCACTTGCCGAAGCCAAGCCGCGGCCAAGACGGCAAAGCACCATGCAGGTCGGACAGACGTGCCGAAGTTCAAGTCAGTGGAGAAGCCATCCACGAACAAAATGTCCATGACGTGAAACGTATGCAAAGGCAGCGGGATCCTCACGATCCAACCAGTCCAGCTCCACGTAACGAAGTACGTGCGAATTCACGGTGAAAAGCCCAAAACTTCCAAAGAAGATCCCATAGTCAAAGACCGAAAAGGAAGAGACAAAGCAGCAGAAACCACGGACTCGTCAGCCCCACAAGGTCGCAACAAACCCATCCGGCACCAAGCGCGCGACCATAGCCAGGCGCCCTCATTAGTCACTCCCCCAGGAGTGTGGATCCTCTAAACTTCGCACCCTTCCTCGTCAAGAAGGGCCCAGGGCCACCACGTGGAGGTGGAGGATCCGAGCTGGCCCCAAGAAGCTTGAATTTGCTGAACATTTCTCAGCTGATCTTGAACTGCAAGGCTGTCTCCTCCATATTCTGGATCGCCCCAGGTTACTACAGAGCCATCAAGCAAAATGGCTGCGAAAGCACGGTCAGAACGCTGAATTTGGTGCACATCTCTCAGCAAGTGTTGCACAGCACTGCTCTCCCCACCACAGTCCCCAAAGCCCCATGTTACCACAGTTCCATCTGCAAGCAGGGCAGCAAAGGTTATTGAGTTTGAACTGGTAGCAGGCCAAGTAGACCATACCACCAC